CAAAAATTGTCACATTGACAACTAGAAAAATTAATGACCCAATGTCACCAACTTGAACTGGTTCCATAAAATGTTACTAAAATCTCATTACAGCATAGGATGCTGTAAGGAGTCTCATTACAGCACCCGTTTGAGTACTGTAATAGCTTTCATTACCGTCGCGAATTACAAAAAATATTTTTATAAATGTCACTTACTTTACTTTCAGCGATGTCTTCGGCTACCGTGATTCTTTCCGGGTCTGCGATAACGTTACATCCGGCTTTGCGAAGACGTAATTTGTTGACGTGAAATGCCGAGCCGTAGCAGTACATCAGGATCATCGTCGTTGGAAAATAGAAGCCACAAGCGGCTAGAATCCGGACGGAAGCGTGCGAATAGAAGGGTTCGCAAGCCATCATGCCGGTTGGATTGAAATAGTAGCCACCCTTCGGTAGGGCAAGTGCGGCGAATAACGTCACGGAAAGAATCCAGGTGAGACTTATTATCGCGACGCAACCCTGAAAATGAAACTGCAAAGTGAAATTAGGGTGCTGAAAAGCATTAATATTAATTTGAAAAAGTCATAAACTATCGGTATTTTAATGATGACAATAAAATTAAGGTTTACGCTTAAAATCGGTAATTAAATTTCAAGGGTATTCTCGTATATGGTGGAAATATGGGGGTATATTAACGTTGTAATTAGACCCGACACCGCAGCCCAATTTCAATCCCCCATCTCTATCGAATACTAACCCCGAAACCTCGCCGCTCCAATTCAAAAGCGAAGAGACGATCCCATTGAGAATTGAAAAAGATTTTTTTCTTTTTGACTTAATTAACGCGGGCGAAGAGCTCTGCCCATGATCAATCGAAATCAACGCCATGTTCTCATTCGAACCAGAATATTAAAAAAAAAAAAGAAAAAAAAATGAGTTCCTTTATAAAGTTAGAGATAGTGGATGGTTTTGGTTCTTCCTCGCTTTGATGCTTGGCGGTGCTTTTGGTATTGTCTCGGCTTATTCATTGAAAAGGGGTTAGACGGGTGATGGTGGTCGTTATACGTCGGAACCACGATCGTTCGGCGCATTGTGGGGACGCCGCCCCTTTGAGGGATCCCCCGACGACGAAAATTCCGAGCAATTAGACCGATTGTGGCGCCGCGTGCGTCGTTTCGAAACGACCTAACCTCGAAAACTTCATCGATTTAATCACACCCTTGAAACTCATCAAAGAAAAAAGAATATCAAATAAGTTTGTTCAAATAAGTTCAATAGATGTTTAAAATTTATTTTTAGAAATTTTCCATATTCATACATGATGAGAACATCCTCTTGTTTAAATATAATCACTAATTAACACATTTTTCCCCTTTTAATTTTGCGTATCGTTCTAGTTTTAATTATTATGCAGAGCTAGACAAAGAACTAGAATCATTCGAGTTTAGCCGTCTTAAGAGACTGTAATGTTAGTTTTAGTGACAGTGCATGTGTAAAACTAGAACCAGAGTTGAGCTACTTGCAGTAAAAATGTACTGCAAGTAAAGTATTCAGTACTTTTTTACTTTAAGTAGTTTACTGCCTGTACTTTCAAATTGTAGGTACTTAATACTTGTCCTTTCAGTATTTAGCTTAAAATGTACTGGATACTTGTTACTTGTTTGACATAAGCAGTACTTAAAGAACTATTTGTTCATTAAACTCCAAGTAGTTTATCTACTTCCAGTACTTGCAATAGTAAGTAAAATAATAATTTTTTAAAGTTTTCTTCAAAATCCTAGATAATCTTAGGAATTCTATGAAATCTTTATGGTATGCTTGAAAAATCAGCTGAAATCTTCTGGAAATACTAAAAAATGCCTACATAAATTTTTGGGAATAACTAAAAATCGTGGACATTCGTAATAACCCTAGATATCCTTCCAATTTTTCTAAAAAATCATTCTAAAACCGTTGATACACTAAAAAATCCTAAGATATCCGTAAAGATCGATTGATATCTTTGAAAATGTGTCTAAATTCCTTAAAATTTTTAGAAATGCCCAGTTGACTATGACAATTGTTGGAAATCGTTTCAAAATCCCTAGATATGTTTGGAAATTGGTATAAAATCTTGTAAAAACTTGAAATCTTTGCAGAATCCTAGATAACCATAGGTATACTGAGAAATATTTATGGTATACTTCAAAATCCGTTGAAATCTTTTGGAAATGGAAATACTAAGAAATGCATACATAAGTGTGTGGGAAGAATTAAAAGTCTTGGTAATAATCATTGGATATCCTTGGAAATCCTTCTAATTTTTCTAAAGAATCATTCAAAAACCTTGGATACACTCAAAAATCTATAGATATGCGTAAAAATCGATGGATATCTTTGAAAATGTGTCTAAATTCTTTAAAATTTTTGGAAATACCTAGTTGTATATACAAATTTTTTAAAATCGTTTCAAAATTCCTAGATATGTTTGGAAATTCCTATAAAATCTTCTAAAAACTTGAAATTCTGTAGAAATCTGTGCAAAATCTTTTGGAAACTTCCTAGAAATACTAAGAAATGCCTACATAAGTGTCTGGGAAGAATTAAAAGTCCTGGATATTCGTAATAATCATTGGATATCCTTGGAAATCTTTCTAATTTTTCTAAAAAACCCCTAGATATGTTTGGAAATTCCTATAAAATCTTCTAAAAACTTGAAATTCTGTAGAAATCTCTGGAAAATCCTAGATAACCTTAGGTATTCTGAGATATATTTATGGTATACTTCAAAATCCATTGAAATTTTTTGAAAATCTCCTGGAAATACTAAGAAATGCATACATAAGTGTTTGGGACGAATGATTGAATTGATATCTTTGAAAATGTGTCTAAATTCTTTAAAATTTTTAGAAATACTTAGTTGTATACAAAAATTTTTGGAAAACGTTTCAAAACCCCTAGATATGTTTGGAAATTCCTATAAAATCTTCTAAAAACATGAAATTCTGTAGAAATCTCTGCAAAATCCTAGACAACCTTAGGTATTCTGAGATATATTTATGGTATACTTCAAAATCCATTGAAATCTTTCGAAAATCTCCTGGAAAGACGAAGAAATGCATACATAAGTGCCTGGGGAAGAATTAAAAGTCCTGGATATTCTTAATAATCATTGGATATCCTTGGAAATCCTTCTAATTTTTCTAAAAAATCATTCAAAAACCTTGGATACATTCAAAAATCTGTAGATATGCGTAAAAATCGATGGATATCTTTGAAAATGTGTCTAAATTCCTTATAATTTTTAGAAATGCCCAGTTGACTATGACAATTGTTGGAAATCGTCTCAAAATCCCTAGATATGTTTGGAAATTCGTATAAAATCTTGTAAAAAATTGAAATTCTGTAGAAATCTCTGCAAAATCCTAGATAACCGTAGATATTCTGACAAATTTTTATGGTATACTTTAAAGTTCGTTGAAGTCTTTTGGAAATTTCTCAGAAATATAAAGACATGCCTACATAAGTGTCTGGGAAGACTTAAATATCCTCGGCATTCGTAATAATCCCTGGATATCCTTGGAAATCCTTCCAATTTTTTCTAATAATCAATCTTATCAATCCCTTGGATACACCTAAAAATCTGTAGATATGCGTAAAAATCGATGGATATCTTTGAAAATGTGTTTAAATTCTTTAAAATTTTTAGAAATACCTAGTTGTATATAAAAATTTTTGGAAATCGTTTCAAAATCCCTAGATATGTTTGGAAATTCCTATAAAATCTTCTAAAATCTTGAAATTCTATAGAAATCTCTGTAAAATCCTAGACAACCTTAGGTATTTTGAGAAATTGTTATGGTATATTTAAAAGTTCGTTGAAATCTTTTGGAAACTTCCTAGAAATACTAAGAAATGCCTACATAAGTGCCTGGAAAGTATTAAAAGTTCTGGATATCGTAATAATCACTGGATATCCTTTGAAATCTTCTAATTTTTCTAAAAAATCATTCAAAAACCTTGGATACACTCAAAAATCTGTACATATGCGTAAAAATCGATGGATATCTTTGAAAATGTCTCTAAATTCTTTAAAATTTTTAGAAATCGTTTCAAAATCCCTTGATATGTTTGGAAATTCGTATAAAATCTTGTAAAAACTTGAAATCTCTGCAGAATCCTAGATGTATACTGAGAAATATTTATGATATGCTTCAAAATCCCTTGAAATCTTTTGGAAATCTCCTGGAAATACTAAGAAATGTATACATAAGTGTCTGGGAAGAATTAAAAGTCCCGGATATCGTAATAATCATTGGATATTCTTGGAAACATTTCTAATTTTTCTAAAAAATCATTCAAAAACATTGGATACACTCAAAAATCTGTAGATATCCGTAAAAATCGATGGATATCTTTGAAAATGTGTCTAAATTCTTTAAAATTTTTAGAAACACCTAGTTTTATATAAAAATTTTTGGAAATTGTTTCAAAATTCCTAGATATATTTGGAAATTCCTATAAAATCTTTTGAAAACTTGAAATTTTTTAGAACTCTGCGAAATCCTAGATAACCTTAGGTATTTTGAGATATGTTTATGGTATACTTGAAAATCCATTGAAATCTTTTGGAAATTTCCTAGAAATACTAAGAAATGCATACATAAGTGTCTGGGAAGAATTAAAAGTCCTGGATATTCGTAATAATCATTGGATATCCTTAGAAATACTTCTAATTTTTCTAAAAAATCATTCAAAAACCTTGGATACACTCGAAAATCTGTAGATATGCGTAAAAATCGATGGATATCTTTGAAAATGTGTCTAAATTCTTTATAATTTTTAGAAATACCTAGCTGTATATAAGAATTTTTGGAAATCGTTTCAAAATTCCTAAATATGTTTGGAAATTCCTATAAAATCTTCTAAAAACTTGAAATTCCGTAGAAATCTCTGCAAAATCCTAGATAACCTTAGGTATTCTGAGAAATGTTTATGGTATACTTGAAAGTTCGTTGAAATCTTTTGAAAATCTCCTGGAAATACTAAGAAATGCATACATAAGTGTTTGGGAAGAATTAAAAGTCCTGGACATTCATAATAATTATTGGATATCCTTGGAAATCTTCCTAATTTTTCTAAAAAATCATTTAAAAACCTTGGATACATTCAAAAATCTGTATATATCCGTAAAAATCGATGGATATTTTTGAAAATGTTTCTAAATTCTTTAAAATTTTTAGAAATACTTAGTTATATATAAAAATTTTTGGAAAACGTTTCAAAACCCCTAGATATGTTTGGAAATCCCTATAAAATCTTCTAAAAACTTGAAATTCTGTAGAAATCTCTGCAAAATCCTAGATAACCTTAGGTATTCTGAGAAATGTTATGGTATACTTGAAAGTTCGTTGAAATCTTTTGAAAATCTCCTGGTAATACTAAAAAATGCATACATAAGTGTTTGGGAAGAATTAAAAGTCCTGGACATTCATAATAATTATTGGATATCCTTGGAAATCTTCCTAATTTTTCTAAAAAATCATTTAAAA